CCCATCTCAAACAGCAGGGGCTGTAGGTCAGATTGAAGGCCATGGGTTCAGGCCCCAGGCTCAAGTGCTCCTGCTGCAGATTGCGTCCCACCCAGTAGCTCACCACCGGCCTGGGGCAACAGCTGTGAGTTCCACAAGATAAGCAGGCATTTGTATCTAATTTTAACTTGAGGAGCAAGTGACATCTTACAATACTCAAAGCGGGACTCCAATAACAAATGACCCCAGACTCAACATAGTAGAGGCCAGCCTTGAAGACTTAATTTAATTCCTTTCGCCCCCAATAAAGCCACTTAAATGTTCCACTAGGAAAAGACTGAGCAGGAGACAGAGGAGGGAACTACTTTTTTGAAAGGTAATGGAAATCAGAACTGGAGGCCCCCTGGAATTCTAGTCCCACTTTTCAGGTAGCTATGGTCAGGAAAAAGCTAATCAGGACTTTGTAGTTCATTTGAGGACCAGCCAGTAGGCTGGGTGCTGGGGCACGTGGCCGAAGCTGAGGCAGGATTGCTGTGAGTTCAGTGCCAGCCTGAACACCATAGTGAGACTTGTCTCAAAAATAGAGGGGGTGAGGGACTGTGTTGTGATGGGTTCTATAGTTAAGGGACTGGAAGTTAAAGGGCCATTCATTGGCGATGAATTTGTCCTCTATGGGCTCTTTGTGTTAAAGGCTTATGCATATGAATAACCTTGGCCTGCCCCTCAACTGCAGTCTGCACACAGTTCTGCCTTTCTGTATTCTGAAGTGTGGATGACTACAAGGCCGTGTACCTAGAAATACAACTGTCACTGTTAGGAAGATTCCCTATCCAATCACATTACAAGGAAAGCATTTTCTTTGAAAAGTACCAGCTGGGCATGGTAGCTCATTCCAGTAATCCCAGCATTCAGGAGGCTGAGGCAAGAGGTTAGCAAGGCACCGGACAACTCACCAATTCAACAAGACTGGCTTGCATTTTTTAAAAGGTTAGGGATTGTAGCCTATGAAAACAAAAAAAGGTCCTGAACTTAAGTGAAGAATCACATATAAATCTGTTAATTATGATGCTTCTGTGTAGCACACATAGGTGACCCACTTGTCATATATCATTTATACTTTGCTAGAAAAGTCTAGTTGGCTTAGATTTGTGAATTTTCTTTCCTCTCGAACTATTTGGAGTTGCTAAGTGAAATTTGTAGATTTCACTTAGGATTTCAATGAGATATGTTCGTAAGCCTCTTCAACATTGTAGCAGTCCCATTGCACAATTAATTGGTTTCATTCAACATCGTGTTCACTTCCTATGTGTGGAAGACAAAAAATCATTAGATAAAAATTCTAAAAATACATCTCTAACTTGCTGTGGCACATAGCTGGTGGACCTTCTGACCTGCTGAAAGGACAGGTACTGGAATCCTGATGAAAAGCAAAACAGGGTAGAGATAGGAGGAGGAGAGCCCATCCATGAAGAGGAGGATGTGTGAAGGCCTTCAGACACCACGCTGGAATGTTCACCTCATCTGCAATTCCCCAGCTTTCTACCCTTCACCCAGCTTGTAAGCAGGTATCTTAGCATGGGGTTTGGAAATCCTCTAGATTCCAGCACACGGGTAACAGCAAGGACATCGCGTTCTCTGCTAATTATTCCCTAGTGAAATGCCTTAGTCTTCAGGAAGCCTGAACTTCATGCCTGAATTGGGATGAGCCCAGGAGAGAAAATGGTTGTCTCGGCTCTCCAAGGCCTTGGAGGCTTACACTGCATCTCTAATGGCTAGTGCTTCCACAACTGTCTTGAGATCTCTAAAACATACTTGCATGTTCCACTGGCTATTGCAGCTGGAGTATTACCTGCTGGTTTTTACCATAGCCTCAGAGTGGAGGTCACTACTGAAGGGTTTTTAAATAGCACATAGTATGATTACATTTAGGAAGATTAGTTCTGGCCAAAGTCGACATAACTAATATAAAGAGGGAAAGGAAATCGGTGACATTTAAGTGAAAGTTACAGATGGAATCTAGAATAATCACACAGAGGATTGCGAGAAAAGGATGAATTTAAGAGCTACTGAAAAGATAGAAAAACCCTAATCTCATTTATTTACTTATAAGCTCAAAGGCCAATTAATTCATGTTTGTGAAATTCTGAACCAAATAGGAAATATACTAAGATGGCCTATGTATGCATAGGTAAATGAACATTTTTGTATCTCAGAATAACAACTGGTAAATTATAAAGATAAGATAGAGTACTATTTGCAAACTGTATTGAGTTTCAGAACTTCAATGTACAAAATGAAAGCGATTTTATCTAACCAATTATGAAGGGAATATATCCTGAAAATGTAGGCAATTCAGAACAATACAAAAAGTTCAAGTCATGTTAAAGTCCATCACTCCAAAAGAAGCACTGTAGACATTTTGTCTGATAGCTGCATATGTACCTTGATCACCTTTTCTGAGAAGTCATAGACAACTTGCCATATAAATGAGAAATGTCCAGTACATTTTTCCTACCACCATTCTTTTAGTGAGTCAGTAGCCCATTAAGATTTCATTACTGGGGTTGGTGAGATGGCTCAGGGGTCTAAAGCGCCTGCTTAGGCAAGCCTAGACAGGCACAGCGGACCCAGGTTCCATCCCCAGCACCACATGCTGGCCCTGCCCCGCCCTCAGAGTAGGCTGAGCTGGCAAAACAAAAGATTTCATGACTTCATTATGGTAAAAAGATGCAAGAAAGAAACATTAGTGAATGCCCTTGTGTCACATATATTTCTTCCTATTCAATTTTCAGTATAAAGCTGATTTTTAGGATTTGGGGTTAAAAGTTTATACAAACATTCACATGCTTCTTGATTACTAGATTGCCTTTCTGTAACTTCCAAATATAATCAACATACTTAGGTTTTCTAAATAACTAAATGATTGTATTATGAAAGGAATTTATGGATTGTTAAGATTTTTAAAATGAGTAACAAAGCAGGTAATACATTATGGTGAGCAAAATGCAGTACTTATTTCCTATGTGTTCTTGACAGAAAAATTGTGTCTTGGAAGCTGGAACAAGATGCACAGGGAGTTTTAACAGCTAATTCAGCTGACGTGAAATGCTTAAGGAAAACCTTTGGGGGAAAGAATGTCCAAATGCATGTCCTGGGCGCTTGACAGCCTAAAGCACTTATGCTGTGCCTGGTGTCAGGAGCCAAATGCCGTGCATTTCAGACTCGCATGTTCTGTTGCTGGTGATCAACTACTGATTAAACAGGACAAAGGTAAGGGCTGGTGTTTATAGCTCAAGGGACTAAGCACTTGCTTATTGCTCAGGGGCCAGGAATCGATTCTCCATCCTGCATGCCCTGCCGGCCCTGCCCCCAAGCGCGCTGAGCCGACAATGGAAACAGGGCGGTTATAGGTGGCGCACACCTATAATCCCAGCATTAGGAAGCACAAATCAGGAGGACCACTATGAGTCCAAGCTGCATACTGAGACCCTCAGGACAAAGACACTTTACCAATGAAAGGAATGCCAAGTTGCCAACTTTTCACTGTCTTTTTTTTTTTTTTTTTTTT